CTTCGGTTACCAGGATCCCTTTGATATTTTAGTGGGTTTACCCCACTATTCTCTCGGGGAACTCTGCACTAAAAGGACCTTATACGCCACGTATAGCCCGTGGCTATCCTATACGTATTTGTGCATGGTGGGTTTCTTGTATAACGCTAGTTTCTCTTCCCAATTAATAGCTTCCTCACTCTTTTCGGTGTTTTATACACTTCTTTACGCGCCCCACCCATTTCCCCGCATTGATGAAATAGCTCTTTTCCAGGAGCTCCACGCCCCAACCGCCTGCGGCTGAGTCTCCCGGCCCAGGCCATATCTTATTGAAATTACGGGCATTGTTTGCAGATGACCCCAGTGAGTATAGATTACTATAAATTAAGTTGCTTTTCATCATAAACATGCAGTGCTGCAATTTTGTATCTGATCATACTTGCGCACTCAAAGCCGTCTCCAAAGTAGCCTTGATCACAAGTGCAAGTAAATGAGCCACGATAATTTGTACAGCTGGCGTCCTGATGGCAGTAATACTTGTCCCTACTGCATTCATTCAGATCTCTTAAAAATGAAAAAGGACTATATATTACGAAACACACCATAATGCGTTTTGTCAGGGGGACGAGCTTAAAAGCAACAACTTCATGATTCTTCAAAATTCTTCAAAATTGTCATTAAAATGACAATTTTGCCTTTTTCCACCTCGTAAAGGGCTTTTCCTTTGTGAATTTGCAAATCCCTCACCTCTATACCTTCTACCACTTTCAAAGGGAAATCCTTAATATATAGATTTAACCAGGGCTAAAAGCCAGGCTCCCATTAATAAATTTATAATTTAAATCAAACAATAAACTTGTATTCCGTAATTCAGTTAACTTTAGAGCACATTCGTGTGACTTTTCAGGGAAAGGCTAAGTGATTTTACAAAATATAATTTGCAAACAGCCCAAGAGTGAACCAAATCTCACATCGAGTGGATAGCCTCATGAAGTACACCCAAAAACTGGCAATCATCTTCGATCACATTTATTAAGGCCATAATGGCTCTTGATCACCGTAGATCAATTAGGCCTGGAAAAAAATTGCGGCCGAATTTTTTGCGTTCGACAAGTTTATTTTACAAAATCTTGCCAACAAATCTGGGTGCGTGTAAACCAACCTTTTATGTCATTTATACATCACATCTGAGGAGAAACAGTACTATGAGGAACTGTTTTTATCATACAGACCTCGGACAACAGAATGCAGTATTTCACAATATTGCGATACAAATTGCTATCCAGGACGATCGAAGCACGCGTGGGCTTTAGCCGTAAACCGTTGAAAAAATTTTCAAAATCATCTATACGGCCAGCCGGTTCTGACTTTTACAGTGCTAGCATCTATATGCTGACGACACCCAATTATATATTACCTTTAAAACTACCAGCTTGAATAACATCCAACAAGTGAAGTTGAGAGTGGAATGCTGTATGAGGGACATTGATGAATGGATGATAAGAAACTATCTTAAACTAAACCAGGACAAAACGGACCTTGTAGTCATCAGTTCCAGATTCCATCCTATGCCTGACATCGGTCACATTACTGTTGGTTCTGAGTGCATTGCACCTCGTGACTCTGTTCGTAATTTAGGGGTTCAGTTTGATAGCATATTTAGTTTTGAGGAGCACATTAAGAACATTTGTAAATCATCATTCTATCATTTGAGAAATATTGCTAAAATCCGCAAGTACTTAAGCCAAGATACATGTAAAATCTTAGTCCATGCATTTATTAGTTCGAAACTTGATCACTGTAATTCCTTATTACATGGCCTTCCTAAGTATCTGTTAGCTAGACTACAGGCAGTTCAGAATGCTGCAGCTCGTGTTGTCACACTGACACCGAAGCATGTTCATATAACTCCTATTTTAATTAATCTTCATTGGTTACCAGTTGAGTTTAGAATAACTTTTAAAGTCATTTTATTGGTATACAAGGCCCTTCATGGCCTTGCACCTTCTTATATTTCTGACCTTTTGAATTTTAAAACATACTCTAGGTCATTGCGTTCTTCATGTAAAGAATATTTAGTGGTTCCAAGAAGCAGATTGAAAACATATGGAGACAGAGCTTTCTCTATTGCAGGACCTAAATTGTGGAACGATTTACCTCTAGAGATTAGGAAATGTGCTTCAGTGGCAACTTTTATGCAATCCCTTAAAACTTTTTTTATTTAAGTTAGCATATAGGTTATGAGATTCCTTTTGTTTTAAGATGTTTTTGATTTATATAGTAGATATGTTAGGCTATATTTGAATTATATTGTATATTTTAGGTATTTTAGAATTTAGATTTTTTATATTCTATTTTGTAATTAGGTAGCGCTTTGGACAATTATTGGATTTTAGCGCTATATAAATAAAAATATTATTATTATTATTATTATTATTATTATTATCTTTAACATGGCCTGTGCTGATGTTTCGCTCACTGTTTATATGCTGTTCCTGTCAGCATTGTCGACACTGCATATAGCCACCAGTGGCTTATCACGGGAGTCGCAGGCGAGCTTCTTCCATTTCTAAGACGAAAGGCCTTGTACGCAAGTTTTTCCTCTCGTGTCAGGTATTTCGCAAACCAGAACGCTCTCCATTCGTGGTGTAACCTTCCAGGAAGAATGCCGATTTACTACACATGTAGGGCATAAGCTAATTAAAATTAACCAATATCTTTTTATACTGAGATCGTTAAGAAAGGAAATCAGTTATACTCTGTCAGAATTAGACCACCTGTTTCAAAGGTTTTATCCCTCATTTGACCTACGGTGAGGGTAAAACAAGGAATGAGTTTGCGGAATGGCATGTGGCATGGCTTGCGGAATGACATAATTATGCGGAATGTAAGTAATATATGCAGAATGACTAAAATAAATAAATTAAACTGAAAAGTGTACTCTTTTTTGGCTCCAATCAATTTGCCAAAGCAGCGACTTTTTTTAACGTTGCGGGCTCGACTACGATGAGAATAAAAAAGCTGCAAAGATAGGTTCCTTGATTTCTCACTCTCGATTAGCCTTTTTCGCACAGCCACAAAGATTCTACTTGCCTTTATCAGTCGGGCTGCATGGCAATACCGATACTACATCACGAGATTCGGCCATTGAAGAAAAGATGTTTTGGAAGATCACGCTTCCTTCTGCTTTAAAGTTTTCTGCAAACGATGTTTGCACGATTAATTTCGCAGGTTTTTTACATTTATTTGCAGAGTAGAACCCTGATATCCCGAACTCGGATAGATCGAACTCCCGGCGCACTCGAACTAAGTCCAATTTCCCTTGGATTTCATCCCACTTTTTATCATTTTTACTCGGTTAACTCAAACTCGGATACTCGAATTCCCTTCTGACTCAAACTACATTTCCTTTCCCTTTATCAAAGAGTCACTAAAATATACCCCCGATAACTCGAATTCTGGTTCTTGTAACTCCACCCAGATGCCATCCCATCAATTAGTTCTTGTTGTTTAATGGTAAAAACACTAAAAATAAGACTAGACAACACTAAAGATCTCGTTTTATCACTAAAAATGGTTAATCATTTTACCGTTTCTGATGAAATAAGTGAGATTTGTACTACTGAAATCAGTAACTATCAATTTTAACATGGCAAATTGAATTTTGCAATCGACCCCGATTACTCGAACCATCGCCGTAACTCCAGATGTAACTCGAACTGTTTTTCGTTTCCCTTCAGAGTTCGAGTTACTGGGCCGGTTCTACGGTATTTGAAACCGCGTGAGAAGTCTTTCTTTTTGAGACGGTGGCTTGCGTGATCGTGGCATAATATATGATCAGAGATCAAGTAAATCCGACTTCACGTACAACGGGCGTTCTTTTCCCTCTAGCGTTACGATAAAGAGTGACCCTTGATTTGAGTTTAGTGAAGTACAGGTTATTTACCCCTAAATAAAAGAACAGACAGATTTGCGACACAATACGTCTGCACGTATTTACGAGGCATATTTTTTTTCATTTGGGACTACAGAGTCTACCATTTCCCAGCAGCCTCTTAAAGCTTACAGCTGCTAGAAGTGATTTCCTCCATAATCCTCGTGATCTTCAACGTGCCGCTCTGCCTTGTTGGCTTGAGCCAGCAAAGCGATTGCTCCGTCAAACAGGGGCACCCAACGAGAATATAGTTCAAAAGCACTTAAACATAGCATTGTTAAACGTATTTTACTATGTAAACGGTAGATACAGGCATATTTTTATCCCCTAAACATTTTTCATCTGTTCGGATTTCCTAGCTGAAAGTCTAGTGATCCGAAAATTATAGGGATCAAAACTTACCTTTTCGAAAATTTCAGAGAAAAGGCTCCCGAAAATTCTAGGTGACCTAGCTTTTTAAAGTCAAAATCCGTTAAAAATGGGCAATTACACCATTTTTTAGATGTTCGAAAATCCTAGGAGAGGCAGGCAAGCAAGAAATTTTACAACAAATGTTCCGAAAATTCTAGATCTCAAATCGTCTTCCGAACAGATATTTTCCGAAAATTGACCTTGGGTGCCCCTGTTCAATTTTGAACAGAGTTTCAGCCATAGCACCACAGTAGAGGAATATCATCATATTGACTTAGCACTAGCACCAGTGGTTACCAAATATCAATTCAATAGTCTTTCGTGGTCAAGAAAATCATGAAGGTAAAACATAGAACGAAAAGTGCAAAATAATGTAGGCTTATCATTCCAAATTTGACTAGACAGCTCGATATAAAAAACGGTGTATATTTTGCAGATCAGACGAGGAGAAATGTTTGAAATGAGATTAGAACATTTGGTTATATTAAAGATCAGTTTATTAAGGTGGTACAAGTTTTGTACTGTAACTTACAGGCCTCAATATTAAATTAAGAAATTAAAATGTAATTTTTTTTTTTTTATCGCCTGGTTTATATAAAAAAAAATATTATCCTGCCTTGATCAGTGTAATATTAATTGACTGTCAAGTTTGAAGCTGAATACGACGTCACAGTTTTTAGGTTGTCTCGTAAAATGTTTCTACTTCGTCTGGAGTAAACTGATAGGTGCCTGCCAGAAATGTCTTGGTAAAGGTGCTTCCAGGGCTGTACCCACTTGGTGCACTGTAAGTATAACCAAGGTTAGCATAGGAATTGCTACTGGATGACGCGTAGTCGACAATTTTAATGTCATGGCCTGTCCCGAATTTTGGTCCACCAGACGAGCAGTCGTATATGGAGTATCCGTAATAACTATATGGTCCTGTCTGAGGCAGTTTCAAGGGCGCCCATCCTGGATTGTTAGCCAGCGAGAAAAGGAATGCCTGGGAATCATATCGATACCCGGGGCAACTGCTGTAACCTGTTGGGAAAATAAGAAATGAGAAGGATGAGATATATCAATGCACAGACTTCGTTCAAAAATTCGAAATCATACAGACAAGAAAATATACTGATACTGCTAGTAGTAGTTTAACTCCCTTTAAAGTAGCAAAGATATCAGTCTCGTGAAAAGTGTTTACTTTTGAAGGAATAATTATAAAATGGTACTTATCTGAAAAGCTGAACGCCAAAAATATTGAAAAGAGCGATAATTGTAGAATAAAATTCAGTTAAAGGCACCCCGAAACAAAGGCTTGAATTTTTCCGTTGTTGTTTACTACTACAGCCGAGTGGAACGTCAATATAACGAACCTCTGTATGACGAATTCCTTGATGTAACTAACCATTATGGTAAAATATATGGAAAAGAATCTCAATAAAACAAAACCTCGTTATATAGCAAACAAATCGGTCGGTCTCTTGATCCTATCCTTAAAACTCAATTCTTGAGGGGGCTTGTAAAAATGATCATTATATGGCTGAGTCTGTTTCCGCCATGCGATTGGTCAATTTGCGGTCCGTAACTTGCCATACGGACCAACAGAGATTCGAGATGTTTTGCCTGAGAGAAAATGAGTCATTTCTTCGACAAATATGATAACAAACATACCTGCACCAGATCATCTTGACAAGCTTCTTTGCCATTTGCAGTTTTTTTTTTCAAAAAGGAGTGAATACTTACAGTGCTCTTAGTTTTGACCGAATTAACGTTAAAATGTGTCTGTAAAGCCTGAGGACTGGAATGTTGACTTTGCTTTTGCAAGTTTTAACCTAGCTTTGTTTTAATGAGGACGAAGCTGATGTAGAAACTAAATCGTAACTTTACCGAGGAAGAGAATTCTAGTCAGTGTTTGAAAATTTTAACGCAGATCACAGTTGAAGACGAGAATGAACTGGCAGAGAGGTTTTCCCAAAAACAATTAAGGAGCGAGTCCTTCGACAATGACAACAAACTTACCTTGAAAAGCTTCTTTGCCTTTCGCAGTGTTTTTTTTTTTTTTTTTTACAGGGACAAACGGAGGAAAGATGGAAACGACTTCTAGACAGACACAGTGTCCGGTTCCAAAAATACTCCGGCCTTACATTTAAGAGCTAAAACTTACAGTGCTCTTAGTTTCGACCGAATTAACTTTTCAACATGGCGAATTTGTTTTTACTTTCTCGGAAAGCCTTTGTTATGTGCTATTGTTTTCGTGCGCCAATAAAAACTTTCTTTTTTTGACGCTTGTCAAATGACTGTCAAATCGTGCGGTCTGCAACTGTTTCCGGTCCCCCAAACAGGAAGAAGCCATATAACAAACATCTTATTAGCCTCGTTTTTTCAGTCCGTACTGTAAATTACGGATCCTCGTTTTTTTCCATCGATTTTATGGCCCAAGCGCTTCGCGCTTGGGCCATAAATCGATGGAAAAAAACTCGGTCCGTAATTTACAGTACGGACCGTAAACTCGGCTAATAAGAGGTATTTACGATGTAGAACTAAAATGGAAAATAAGGATAAAATTACTTACAAACTACAATATAAACTCTTAAAAGATAAGATTCTAAATGAAAAGGATACAACATGTATTTAAAAGATATAAAATGAATTTACATTAATCACCTTCAAGTAATTGACCACAGCATTTAAAACATCAAATAGTTAAAAAAAAAAAAAGAAAAGAAAATTTAAAATCGTGGTTGTGCCTGGGCACCGACTGGACTCCTACTGACAATAGGTAAGATCAGGAAAAGTAAGATTTCATGCTATTATTCAGGTTGATATAAGTATACGTAGCTTTGATCTAAATGCTCTCTCAGTTTATTTTTTGTGTAAACAGTAACAACAAAAGACTTAATTACTAAGTGATAATTTTCCCCCATCTAACTTGCACTTTTTTTCACTTTAGTTCTAAGAGCCGAAAGGGAAGCCTTAGGAACTTACGATTAATTCACAATCGCGTTCTAGTCATTTTTACTGATTTTTTAAACTACAACGGCACTTGAGTGGAATATATACTTTGCCCGAAAAACACTTTAGAGAGGAACAATTCTGGAAAGAAAATACGTCAGCACCAGGGGGAGGGAACTCTATTGTTTTCCACCTACGTTTCTTGACCCATTCCGCCTGCCAGTATGACGTCACATAGTAACGGGCAAGAGCCTCAGGTCGCTTGTGCAAATTAGCATGAGATACAACAGTTATTCGGACGAGAGAGATCGAGCAAAAGCTAAGAAGCTAGCAAATATCGCCATATATCGCTAATTTGATCAAATGAGTGTGAGCTTTCCTGTTGCTATAATCTGCTTGTGTAAACCGTCTTGACATTTTGTGTCCGTGATTATATAATTTTGTTAATTTTTTTTTCGGGCCGTGTTGCGGGATCGCCATCTTTTTCACGGGACGGGCAAGGTCATCAAAACTTAAATCTTTTTTTTCTCTAAAATAGGCGAGGTCTAGTCTCCAAAATAGGAGGTTCCATTCACAGATCACCCTTGTTTATATTTCATCTATTCTTTTGCTAATTAAATGAGCCTAACTTTATATCATTCCTTTCGAGTGTGGGCCTCTGTTGATCTCCTAATTCTCCACCGAATTCAGTAAAGCTAGTTCGATCGATTGTCTACATCGAGTCAGCCCGTTGAACCCGAAATAGTGCGAAATAGCTTTAAAATACGCCCTTAAGCTAATTTTCCTCAAATGTATATTTGAATTCATGATAAATACAGCTCCACCAGAGTAGTATACTATGTTGAAACTTAACCGTTTTGGTGTCTAGCAAGATCTAGCTAAGTCTAGTCAATAACGTCACCAATTGTTTTATCCTAGAGAAAAAATGCGTTCCTCCATATTAATTAAGTGCCTAGTCAGTGTCTTCCTGCATACTAATTCGGTATAGGTTTACTAATGAGCGAATACTAGTACTACAATAGGCAAAATAGGCTTGCCTCAGCTTGCCCGTGAAGTAACTTGAGCCCGGTTTTCGGACCGTCTTTTAAAAGGAAAATAGGGATAAGAGAAGCGATCACCTAGCAGCGCGAGAAACGGCTTCCTATATCTTATTTAGCGCTAAAACTCGGATATATAAACAAAACACATACAGAAAGTGGAGCTGTAAACTCTCTATTTCAAGTGTGTCTGCCATTTGCTGCTTTCTATCTCGAGGAAATGAAAGTCTTGTCATTTTCACGCGCTGTTAATCAGTTAATTATGCGAGTTCACAAGCCCAAAGTTGCATACAAATTAGCTCTACAGCCCAAGGGAGCAACCCTGACGTATTATTATAAAACAAATAACTTAACAAGGATCAATCAAAACACGCGACTCATAATAGCTAGCAATAAAAACACAAGAGAGATACCGTTTTAAAAACTTTATTAAAAAAACAAGGACAAAAAGAGTCAAATACACAGGAATGGAAATTAATTAATCTTCATCTTCGTTCTCCTCTGTAGAAGGGGAATAGAAATTGGTTTCCAACGTCTTCACGTTTTTGTGTGTAACTGCTCCGCAATCGTGACAGCGAAGAAAGCCCTCTTTCATGTAATTTCTCCCCTCGGGAATCTGGTGATCGCATATAGGACAGATCTTGTAGTACTCGTGCCAAAAGCATTTAGGACATTTCATGATCAATGTCCCGTAGACATTAGAGTTCTCGCAGTGTTCACAGGGACGTTTAGAGTGAAAGGTGGTGGACGTTTCAGGGCTACTACTTTCTATTTCCTGACTGTCGTTTTCAGTGTCGATGTCGCTCTCTTGGGTGTCTTCCGCTTCAACGCCATTCTCAGAAGCCACTTCCTCCTCCTGATTTTCAATATCCGATGAACTCTCCTCATTATTACTCTAGTTATCAGAAGTATTTTCTACATTTTGGTAGCCTTTTTCCTTTTCTATTAAATCACTTAACAGCTTTTTGTTCTTGATTAAACCTTTATCGATTCCTAACTCTGCAAGTCCATCTACAAACGTATTCAGCGCACGAGGCTTTGAAACCTCATTGTTATGAGGGAGTAACACATACTCAACTAGCTCAGTGATGTTTGTGACGGGAATAGTACGTTTATTTCGAAGTAATTGTCCGCTAGGGGTCCAGAAAAATATATCTTTGGACGCGGCCATACTATGCAGCAAATCAGAAGCACGCTTTTCCGGAACTGCTCGGGAAAGATGACTCAAAACATCTTTTATTCTTGGTTCTTCATCCTCGCTTTCATCACCAGAACTTTCGCTTTCTTCATGTTCACTCTCGTGATCTTCTTCTTCAACCAAATCTAACTTTCTCTTCATTTTGATGAGTACCTAGCGATGCTTCACCTCTTTTATAGCATTAGAAATCCTAAGCTTAAAACAACAGGGGCTAATACATCTTCAATAAAACCTCTACCCTCTTGTACAAGGACTCGCTTCTTTGTTTTGTAGGGGACTTTTGGTCTGGCCAGGTTAAGTAAAGCATCCTTATGTGGCAGCAAATATCCGCTTATTTTCTTCGGAGATAGGAATGTGTCCCATGAGTATATTGTATAAGACTTGGACTAGTGCATGTAGTTGTTGTGGAGTAGCTGTCTTTAAAAGAAAATGGCGCTGATAAGCAGGGCAATCAGCTAACAGCTGAAGAAAACCACGATTGTTGTTCATTACACGAGACATTGCTTCAAAGTGAACTAAAGATGGCAGTTGGCAGTCTTTTATAGAATCTCGTGGAGAAAAAAAAATGAAACGAGTGGGCGAAGGATAGAAAACAATAGAATGAGGAGGAGGAGGAGGAGGAGGAGGAGGAGGACAGAAAACAATAGAAATGAGGAGGACGAGGAGGAGGAGGAGGAAAAGCAATAGCAATGAGGATGAGGAGGAAAAACGATAGAAATGAGGAGGAGGAGGAGACAAAACAATAGAAATGAGGAGGAGGAGGAGGAGGAGGAGGAGGAAAGAAAACAATATAAATGTGGTGGTGGTGGTAGTGGTGGTTTTGGGGGAGGATAACAATAGAATTTTATGGCCTGAAAACCTATATAAATGCGTAACATTCTACCTCTTTCTCAGTCTACTTTTTGCCCCTGAGGAGTTAACATGAGTTGGCTCTGTTTTGTCTGCGAAATGTCCTTTAGTAGAAAAGGTAATATGCAAAGGCACGTGATGTCTAAACACCGCAAAGCTGGTCTCACCCCATTTCAAACAGTTCCAATATTTTCACAGAAATGTCAGCGGTTTCGCTTCGAGCACCCTTTCACCTCCATGATTGCCGGAATGACCGGGTCCGGAAAACGGTCTGGGTTCGATCGCTATTGCAACAAGCATCAGAGACCATTTTCCCTCCCCCGGAGAGGATTGTTTGGTGTTATTCACAATGGCACCCTGCGTATACACAAATGTTAGTCGCCATGCCAAACATTGAATTCGTCAAGGGAATTCCTACGGCTTTGGAGCAGGATTCCTATTTTAATGTGAACAAACGGAATTTGATCGTGTTTGATGATCAGATGATTGACGCTAGTAAAGACAAGCGAATTGTGAACCTCTTTACTCGTGGTTCTCATCATCGCAATCTGAGCGTGATTTATATCGTGCAGAATCTATTTCATTAGGGGAAAGGCAGCCGCAGCATAAGCCTAAACAGCCATTATCTGGTGTTAATCAAGAATCCACGAGACAAATTGCAAATCCTGACGCTGGCGAAGCAAATGTATCCCGGGCAGACAGATTTCCTTTTAAATCAGTACGAAGAGGCTGTAAAAAGACCTTTTGGTTATCTTCTGATTGATCTGAAAACTACTACCCAAGATAATTGCCGGTTGCGAACAAACGTCCTGCCCAGTGAAGAGGGCTTTAACCATGCAGGGTTTCAAGAAAATATTCCTCAAGAGCTTCTAAAATATCTGAAGCAGCAAACTCTTTCGCCTGTCCCGCTTCTTCCAGCTATGCAAGAAATACAAGGCAACATGGATGACGTGCTTTCTCGAAACGATCTTCGGGACGATGAAAAAACTAAGCGATACCTTCAGTTGCAAAACAGATACCTGGCTTTTAAAGAACAATTAAATACAAGAACCCGACCGGAAGAAATAATCAGCACTGTTCCAGACTTAACATCAAGGACACAAGATTCTTCGACAGCAACGACAGCATTCTCGTCTCCCCTCAACCCCTTTAATGTAACACCTGAATTAACAGAAGCAGTTGTCTCTCAAAAACCTGACAAAGAAAGCCTCACCCCTCCACCACCCTTAAATCCTCCTTTCCTGACCCCTCCTCCCACAGTAGAAACCCCATCACCACAAGGCCTGAAGCGCAAAAGGCGTCGGATTCAATTTCTAAATTATTTGGAAGATCATAAATCTCATGGCAAACAGCTGAAGAAACGTCGGCATAAGAAATTCAAACCTTACAAGTACTCCATGGACGAAGAAGAAGGAATTAATTAATTATCGCTGTGTATTTGACTCCTTTTGTCATTGTTTTTTAATAAAGTTTTTCAAAACGGTATCTCTCTTGTGTTTTTATTGCTAGCTATTATGAGTCGCGTGTTTTAATTGATCCTTGTTAAGCTAGTTGTTTTATAATAATACGTCAAGGTTGTTCCCTTGGGTCTAGCTGTAGAGCTAATTTGTATGCAACTTTGGGCTTGTGAACTCGCATAATTAACTGATTAACAGCGCGTGAAAATGACAAGACTTTCATTTCCTCGAGATGGAAAGGAGAAAATGTCAGACAAACTTGAAATAAAGAGTTTACAGCTCCACTTTCTGTATGTGTTTTGTTTATATATCCGAGTTTTAGCGCTAAATAAGATATAGGAAGTCGTTTCTCGCGCTGCTAGGTGATAGCTTCTCTTATTCCTATTTTCCTTTTAAAAGACGGTCCGAAAACCGGGCTCAAGTTACTTCACGGGCAAGCTGAGGCAAGCTTAATGTGGCTATTGTAGTATTCGCTCATTAGTAAACCTATACCGAATTAGTATGCAGGAAGACACTGACTAGGCACTTAATTAATATGGAGGAACGCATTTTTTTGCGTTCGATGTTAGGAGAACGCTTCGTAATCTTTGGGGATCCTGTGGTCGATGGGATACCTGTGCATGCCAGGCGTGAAGATTCGAGATTTTTGGTTACTTGGACGGGCGATGTTCAAAATCTGCGCCATTTTGAATAATTATTAAGCGCGCGCACGAATTTTAAGCCCAATAGCCGGCCAAAGAAATTGCGGGCTCACCTGGTGGACATGCGCACACAACTATTTTTATGCGCAAGCAACTATACCTCGTGCGAGTGCGCACGCAACTATACCTCGTGCGAGTGCAAGCTCCTCGTGCGTCCGTGTCGCCTCCGTGGATATCTTTGGATTATTCGGTAAGTTCATTTATTTTTCTCAAACTTCATGCGATGTTTCTTAAAAAGTTCATCGCTTCAACTTGTCAAAGCCTTACCAGGAAACTTTTTAGTACTCCAAGAGCATGTAGAAAGCCCGATGTCGGCGTTGTCCGAACTACAACAAACCGAAGACCTTCGCTGCTCTCCTGCTTTGAATTGATGTCCTCGAATTTGCCGAACAACAAAGCAAATCAACCGATAACTCTGACACAAAGTTGTCTCAAAGCAAATCTACCAAGCCATTGTGCTTTGACCCATAGCGGTCACAAATACAAACCAAACAAACCGAGTCATTGTACTCGGTGGCCATTGCGCCAAATGACCCGTTGTGGTCACAAAGCAAATAAACCGAGTCATTCTGCTCGATGGCCATTGCGCCAAATGAAAAGTGACAAAAGTCAAATGGTTACCGGGCTGATAAGTGGTGATTGTAGTTCACAAGATCATGATAAGGCTTTGACAAGTTATTCTTCTGAGAAAATTGAAAATCATAGTGTAACTATTTCTGAAAATGTTGAAGTTCGTAAGAAAAGAGTGAATTGTCAGAGGAAAAGGGACAGGCAACCATCTCGCGTTTCTGTTAAAATAATTCTAAAGGCACTAAGTAATACGAAGTCTAGGAATAGAATCAAGTCTTTTGTAAGACAACATCTTCCAGACAGTTCTTTTATCACTAATTTATGTAGAAATTACAACACCTGGAAATTCTGGTATACCAATGATCATTATTATAGTAAATTTGTTTTTTACATGAACATACAGAAAAGAAAATTTACAACAACAGATAACTATTCTACATGTAACTGTAGACAAACACATATCCGTGTGGCAGATTTAATGAATTCTGGTGGAAAAAGCTTTCCTCAAACTCATAATGATAATTCAAAATTAAATGGAGGTATGTCTCCTGAGAATGCTGTTAGTCATGATTTACCATGGGATTGTTTAACTGAAAGGCTTCGTCTCATAGGACTTATACCACATGATGTAGGTGGATTTGGGGATTGTTTCTTTAAATCAGTTTCGCACCAACTGTATAGGACTGCTGACTTGCATCTTGAAATTCGTATGGCTGGAATTGGCCATTTACAGAGTTACCCAGAATTGTATATTGAAAGCATTTCTAATGATCACTGGAATAACTATATTCAACAAATGTCAAAACAAGGCACATGGTGTGATAACATCATAATGCAAGCTGTGGCCAATGCATACAACTGTGTCATTCATATCACACAGTCTAATATAAATTCACGTGAAAGTACAATCTTAACTCCTGTTGCTGATCAGGATGGACGAAAGACAATATTTATTGGATATATTAACGAGTTGCATTATGTTTCAACATTGACTGACAAAAACAGTAGATATAAAAACAAACTCACATGCATAAAGAGAAAATTATCAGAAACCAATGAAAACAGACATGGTAGACTTCTTAAGCACAGAAATTACATGAAAAGAGTCAAATATACAGAAACAGCTAATGAAAGGGCAAGCAGACTTGAAGATAAGAGAGGCACTTATAGAAAAACAATGTCTGAAGAAACTGCTGAAAAGCGAAAAGAGAGACTTAAAAATAAGAGAGACACTTATAGAAAAAGAGTGTCTGAAGAAACTGTTGAAAAGCAAAAAGAGAGACTAAAAAGTTACAAAGACTTATAGAAAAAGAACGTCTGAAGAAACTGTTGAAAAGCGAAAAGAGAGACTTGCAAATAGGAGAGCCAGTTATAAAAGGTCTCAAACAATTTCTGCAGGACAAAAAGAGAGCTCTGCTGGTCCAGTTCACGAACAAAAACATGCACAAAATAACATGAACGATTTTCATAAGCCCAATCAGTATTCAGTTTGCCAATGCACTGTCTGTTTTGAAGCATGGCCATTGAAATCCAGTCCAAGGAAGGTTGATCACTACCAGTGTCAGAGGTGCATACGAGATAAACAACAACCAAAAAAGTTTTCTAAGGAAAATGACATGGTGCCATCATTAGTACCTTTACAACTGCAGGGGTTAACCCAAGTAGAAGAAATGCTTATTGCACGTGCACTTCCTGTTATGCGAGTTTACATAAAACCTGGTGGACAAAGGGGCTATTCAGGTCACTGTATCAATTTGCCTCAGGATATAGCTGAACTAGCACATTCTCTGCCTAGATACCCAAAAGATCTATCTGTTATTGTTGTTAAGATGAAAGGTAAAGAGAACAGTTTTAAAGATGTGACAGTGCGAAGGCAAAATGTAGCTGATGCACTACAATGGCTTGTTAATAATAACTCACACTAAAAGGACATAACCATCAATAAAAATTCTTTAAATTCTTTACCAGAACATGGTGTTCCACATGGTCTTCTCTCGGTTGAAACAGAGAATATAGATTTGGATGCCACATGTGAACCTGACTTAGGTCCTCAAAATGAAGATGACATTGTTTATAATGAGGGTACTGAAATGAGTAGTTTTCTGCCTATTCCAGAGTGTCAGCAGCAAGAAATAGAAGCTGTGCGCCAACAATTGTCTAATGATTCTAATCACTTGCCCTGGCCAACAGTTGGCAGTGAACCATTAAACGAGTATGTAACTCCCTTTTTAGCAACAATGGCTTTCCCAACATTATTTCCAGATGGTAAGGGTGATCCTACTAACCCATCATTACGCCGAGATATACCACTCGGAGAAAGAGTAAAGCACCTTTTAAAGTTTGGAGAAAACAAGAATGACAAATGGGTATATCGCTTTGCTACTCACCCCAGATTTGGTTACTGGGCATTGAATATGATACAAAGAAAACGTATTCTGCAACAGACAGGCATGTTCCTAAAACAAAACCCAGGAGAAGCTCATTTGATTGCTGAAGAGCTGCGGCAAATGGCAACTAGCAATAACACAAGTATGTTTATATCTAAGATATCACGCTATCTTAGTAACATTACTGGTTCTAATGCTTATTGGCACAAAGCTAAAGAAGATTTAAAAGCAATAATAGCCCATGCTGGAGCTCCAACATTCTTTTTCACATTCTCCTCTGCTGATATGCATTGGCCTGAACTTCATGCAATTTTGGCAACTCAGTCAGTAATAATTCAACTGACAACAAACGGCAGAATGTGATTAACAATCCTCATATTACAGACTGGTTCTTTACACAGCGTTTAGAAAGTTTTATTAAATACTGGTTATACAATTCACTAGATGCTGAGTGGCACTGGTACAGATTTGAATATCAAGCTAGAGGTAGTATACATTGTCATGGTGTAGCAAAGCTGAAAAATGATCCAGGTTTATGTAAACTCTCAGAAACAGCTCTAAAAGGCTATTTGGCTGAAATGTCCACTAATACAGCTGAGCAAGTCAATATACTAGAACTCAATCAACAGATAGTGGATGGGAAAAAAGGCTTCCCAGGTAGTTTGTCAGTATGTAGATTGGTTATTGTCTACATATAATCCAGATCCACCAGATAATGGCACATGGGTGAAGCCCTCTATTCATCCTTGTCAAAAGCGTCACAAGGACCTTGTAAGTTTACAAGACTCTGAACAAGATTATGTTGATTTGTTGAATACTGTACAAAGGCACACTCGCTGTAGTACAAACTATTGTCTTAGAAAGAAACAAAACGAAACAGAACTGAAATGTAGATTTAAGTTTCCATTTGAACCTTGTGTTAATACAAAACTAGAGTTTGAGCCCATTCATACAAAAGATGGAAGCACTCAATACAAAGCAAAGATCATAACAAAGAGGAATGATAGCAGACTCAATAATCACCAACGACTTCAGCTTCAAGGCTGGAGGGCAAACTGTGATATTCAAGTGATCATTGATTATCATGCATGTGTTGAATACCTTGCAAAATATGCTTCAAAAGGTGAACCAAAGTCACCTGTAATGAAACTTGCATTTAATTCTATTGTCCGTAATTGCAACAACAATAGCAACCCTACAAAATTGATAAAAAAAGTGATAATGAAGTCACTTGGCCAACGTGACTTCTCTGCACAAGAGACTATGCATCATCTCATGTCACTGAAACTTGTCAGCTCATCATTTAATGTGGTACCTATTAGTCTAAATGGTTCACGTAGAATCAAAACTATAACAAATGATGGAGATACTGTAACCAATGACTCATTGCTTGATACTTACGCTAAAAGGGAAAAATATATTCAAACCATCCCAGATATAATGGCTCTTAATTTCATTCATTTTGCAACAAAATACAAACTTGTCAACAGCAAACTAACAGTTCAACCTCATAACATGATTCCCAGAGTTTTTCCAGTATTTTCTTCCAATTCAAAAGGTCCAAATTTTGGACTTTATTGCAAATATCAGTTACTTAAGCACAAACCTTGGCATACTACACAAGACAATGCCTGGGATTGTCAGGAAGGCACTGATGAAATATACATCACAAAATGGAAGGAATTTCTACAAACACCATATGCTGAAGAGCATGTTCCTGACTGGTATGAAAAACTACAAAGTGTACAGAATAACACAGAAGAGGAACCAAATATAGAGCACTCTTCAGAAGAGCTTCCACAGCGTGAAGAGTGGATGGATTTAGCAGATCTCATACCTGGGTATTTTGTTAACCAAGATAATATAACACAACAAACCTCTCAGCCTGATTATGACTGGCAAAATGACAAGATTAAGTATGCAAATCACTTAATACAGGAAATGCCATCCTGGATAAAAACTAAGAAAGATACTTTGGATTCTACCTTTGGTTTGCAACAACAAAATATTGATGTTAATACATTCAGTGACATGCAAAGACATGCCTACAATATGGTGAAAGCACATTCTGAACAAGCCTGCCCTAAAGATCCATTGCTTCTTATTATACGTGGAGTTGCCGGTACAGGGAAAAGTTACCTCATTAATGCCATCCGAAACCTGCTCCAACACTCTTGTGCAGTGACTGCCACAACTGGCAAAGCTTCATTTAACATAAACGGATGTACAATCCATTCACTATTAAAATTGCCTGTTGGCCCAAGACATAACAAAGAATTAACAGGACAAGGGCTTGTCACATTACAAACCAAGCTGAAAGATATCAGTTATATCCTAATTGATGAATACTCTATGCTAGGACAAACATTGTTTGGCTGGATTGATAGACGCTGCCGACAAGCAACAGGCAAAAATGACGAAGTATTTGGTGGTAAATCCATGATATTAGTTGGTGACCCAGCTCAATTGCCTCCAGTGGCAGATAAGCCATTATATCATTCGAGACCCTCCAGTTCTACAGGTGAACAAGGCTATTTAGCTTATCACATGTTTGGCAATGTTGTAAAACTGTCAGTAAACCAGAGGGTTCAAGACTTAAATCAACAGCAAGCTCAGTTTAGAGATTTACTCATACGCCTTCGCACAGGAGATTCTAATGAGCAAGATTGGAAACTTCTTTTGGCAAGACAGCCTTCCATAGCATTGAACGTGAATGAGTTTCAAGATGCCACTAGGCTCTATTTCAGCAATGAAGAAGTTGCTAATTATAACTTTGAACAGTTATCAGAACTTCATCAGCCAATAGCCTGCATCACTGCACGTCACTCTAGTGATATAGCTAAGAAAGCAAGTTCGGATGACATGTCAGGTTTACAACCGACCATTTTCCTTGCAAAAGGTGCACATGTAATGCTTACCATGAACCTATGGATAGATGTTGGACTTTGTAACGGTGCAACTGGAACGGTTGAAGATTTCATTTATGCAAACAACCAGCAACCACCAGACTTGCCTGTCGCTGTCATAGTAAAATTTAATGAGTATAGAGGTCCATCTATCAGTGATAGCATTCCACGATGTGTGCCTATATGCCCAATAACAATAACCTCACAGACACTAGATGGTTTACATGAGAGACAACAGTTGCCTCTCAAACTTGCTTGGGCAATCACAATACACAAGAGCCAAGGGTTAACACTGCCAAAAGCATGGATTGACATTGGTCAGACTGAAACTACTGCAGGCATTTCATATGTAGCTATAAGCAGAGTGAAAACACTTTCATCTTGTATTATTGAACCAATGACTTTTGAAAGACTTAAGAGTCTTAAGAAATCCACTAATTTAAAATATAGACTTGAAGAAGAAAGCAGGCTATATAATCTAGCAAATATAAATTGATCCCAAGTTGAGTGATGCGAACAAAGTCACTCACAACAGTACAGCACCCAAAATTGATTAATTAGAATAAATTGATTATACGGCCTTCAACACATGCATACATAAATGATTTTTTTTTATGGTTATAAATAGTTCACTTTCCAACTACATTTAAAGCAAAGTTCCATGTAATGTTTCAGAGTGTTGTATTAACTAGGGTTTAAAGGTATTTTAAACACCCTCCTAAAACATCTGTATACATCCTTATTTTTTTTTTTTTTCAACAGACAAGACAGAGATCTAATATGGCTTCAGGTATGTATCTCCCGGTCATACTTAAATATTATGGCTATACGTTCCTTTCTTCTATTAAACTAATGCTTCTTGTTTTAAAATCATTTTATAACCTTACCTGCTCTATATGCTCTCATTAATAAAACATATTATTTTGAACATCTAGGTATTAGATGTACACTGTTTCCTATCACTTTTGTCACCCTTTAATGTTCTCATGTAGTTATATGATACAATTTATTTTTCCCACACCTCTTGCATGTTGGTGGCGAACTTTAGCCAAAATATCACTGTTATTTGTACTAAAAATAATCTTAATTACAGTAATTAATGAGTGGTGAACTGCTCCTGTTTTGCTAAATTTTAACACTTCCCCTTCTATTAAGCCCTTCCTTTCTATTTAGCCCCCCCCCCCCAATGCCCCTTAAAACAATAAGCCCCTGGGGCTTAATAGAGGATTTACAGTACATGAAACAACGAGACTAATATTTACACATATGTTTTTTCAAATAACACAAGCTACCTTATGCAGTAATCCCATCCATGCCAAATTTATTACATTAATCTAAATATCTTTTTTACCTCCTCCTACAGAAAAACAAGACATAACTTGCTTTGTGCATAATGTCTCACCAGTAAAAAATCTGGACCAACAAGCTACTTTAACTGCCACCTTCAGACAGAGAAAGATCTCATTGGCAGTGTATGCTTTGCAACTGAAAAGAAGGAAACTCTTGATGCAATGGCCGCACAAAGATCACCGGTTAAAATTTCAAATTTTAACATCAGCAATAAGTATGGACGAAGTGATGTAGTAATAAACAGGAACACAACCATCACTTCAACAACAGCTGATTTTCCATACAAAGCACAAGATGATGTCACATCAATTGCATCCTTGTCAAAAGTAGCACCACAACAGCTAGTGTCAATAAAAGGAAAGATATCACATCTAAGTGCGACCAAAACTATAGTCATCCAAGATTCTCCTGTCAAAAAACAGGAAGGCTATATAGTTGATCCATCTGGTTACATAAAAGTTATTTTCTGGGGTGAGCATGTTGACAGCGTCACACCACAGTCCACCTATTTCTTCAACAACTTGAGAATGAAAGTATCTCAGAATCAAAGATACTTGAACACACCAAAACAAGATAATTTATACACCATCAAGGACGCTGAACCCTTCAAACAAACATTACCTGAAGTCAGTGACATCTCAACAACAACAGAAACCATTGGAGAAATACTAGGAATAAGCAGTGTCACCAAATACAACTGTTGTTGTTCATGTTCAAAAAAAAGTTACAATCAAGGGAAAAATTGCAGTCTGCGATAACTGCAAAGTAACACACAAAAGGCAACCAGCTGCAGTGTAAAGTGGACACTCAAGATCCATATCCAAAACTCCAAACAACCACTGCAGAAGCTTCAGCTACAGGTTTATCAAGAAGCAGTGCCAAAGTTGTTTTCAATTTGTCACTTAATTGCAAATGAAACAACAGAGGAGGAAATCACAGAGGCTGTCTTAAACCTAGACACAGTTAAAGTATGCTTTGACACGCAAACGCGAAAACTTGTGGACATTGAAAAAATTGCCATTTAACATGTTTTGTTGCATTTTCCTTGTAACAAACCAATCTCTAGTAACTATTTAAGTTACTAATAATTCATGCTATGAGATACAAACACTAAAACTTTTAGATATCGCAAAAAACTTTTATAGCACTTAATTTTTGAATTTCATATTAAACTTTCTTGAAACTATTCCATTTACTATTATTCATGTTACTGTTAGAAAAATTAGTCTCGCTCATTTAGTATCTGAACTACATTGTAAATGAGTAGATTCTCATGTTTTAATTATTGCATTTTACCTTGTGACTAATCGAGTTAGTATCATCCAGGGCCCAGTTGTTCAAAAGACGATTACTGCTAACCCACGATTAAAGCTTAATCAAAGATTTAATCTCTTTTGTTTAAAAAGATTTCAAAAGCTAATTATAAGCTGCACATGAAGTCAAATCGAAAAATAAAACTAAAGAGCAAGAATCCTTAAGAAAATCTCTTTTGGTTATTAATTTAACTGGAATAAAATTGACGCTAACCCTGGGTTTGCTTAATCGCGCTTTGAACAACCCGGCCCTGGTTACTGTTAAGATAAGAAAAATAGTTAAACAATGCTATGACACACAAACACGAAATATTTAGACATGGAAAAAATCTAAGTTTCATAGCATTTTGAACTTCATCACAGCTTCATGTTCCAGTTGTTGTTATAAAATTTAGTCTATCTCTTTCAGTTTTTCAAGATACTGAGTAGATTGACACATTTTTTTTTACATTTTCTCTTGCAACTAACCAATCCCATGCAACTATTCAAGTTACTATTCATGTTACTATTAAAATTTTTTTTTGTTAAACTATGGTATGACATGCAAACACCAGAACTTTTAAACATTGCAAAAGTTTCATAGCATTACCAACTTCATAACTTTCTTGAAACTATTCAATTTACTATTATTCATGTTACCGTTACAAAAATTAGTCTCACTCATTTAGTATCTGAACTACATTGTAAATGAGTAGATTGACATGTTTTAATTATTGCATTTTACCTTGTGACTAATCGAGTTAGTATCATCCAGGTTACTGTTAAGTTAAGAAAAATTGTTAAACAATGCTATGACACACAGACACGAAACGTTTAGACATGGAAAAATCTAATTTTCATAGCATTTTGAACTTCATCATAGCCTCATGTTGTTGTTATAAAATCTACTCTATCATTTTCAGTTTTTCAAGATACTGAGTAGACTAACATGTTTTGTTACATTTTCCCTTGCAACTAACCAATCCCTTGTAACTATTCAAGTTACTAACATTCATGTTACTGTTACAAAAGTTAGTCTCCCACAATCAGTATCTAAACTACATTGTAACTAAGTAGATAAACATCTTTGGTTACATATTTGGGTTTCACTATTAAAGTTGCTATTGTTCATGTTGCTCTTTAAATACTTCGTCTTTCTCATTTAATCTCTCAACTAATTTCCTCCTCTGTTTTTGTATGATTTTAGCTAAATTAATTACAGAATTACAGGCGTATGCCCAATACAGTATTAAAATGCGCCGGAAAAGCAACAAGATTCAATGCTCACAGTCTCTCACCAATACCTGTCATTTAACTTCCTCTTTCAACGCTACAGTTAAGCGAGCTTTGAGAGGAATGATATGGGGTTCCACTGGCTCTGAAGAGCTGAAAATACGCACAATGTAAAGTATAATACATCCTTTCATGAACCTCCTATTGATGTGTCTAAACTCCTCAATCTTGCTGTGCACTGGCCCTCAAAAGTGTGACCGGTCGG